AGAGAGAGAGAGAGAGAGAGAGAGAGAGAGAGAGAGAGAGAGAGAGAGAGAGAGAGAGAGAGAAGGTGGAGGGAGTGAGGGCAAGGAAGGGAGGGGATGCAAGGGATGTAGCATCACATGGTTTGTGATGATGAAGTGGATGCGAGACTGAATGGACCTTCTGGTCCACCTCTTCCTGTTTTGGCAAGTGCACCTGTTTTGCACCTTATTGGTTGCACATACACCTTCTTCAGAAGCATCTCAGGAGTACCGGTTAGTGCACAGATGTGATGCAGAGGTCGTAAGGGGCTAAGACATTTGGCTGTTTGAGGGCTGCGCTCACCTCCATGTACGACTTAGGATGTGGCGCATGAAAGGAGCTAGAGCCTGACCCCGGCGGAGGCGATAGTCCTGAAACAAAAGGACAAACAATCAGTACATGAGACAAATACTACCTGCTGTTCCTGCTAACAGCTATCACACTGCCGTCTTCGCCCGAACAGAATGCACACTGCACATGGGTTTGCAGGATCAAGAAGCGTCATGTTCCACTGGGTCCCACTAGGTCCCATACGCCGAACTCCAGGCTAGGGTCTGTAGGTCCGGTAGGCTGTAGATCGAAACCTCGTGGGTCAAGTCGGGCCAGTACCGAAAAGTCAGGTCGTTAGAAGTCCAGTCCAGTACCCGACAAGAAAAGTCCACTCCCAAGTCCAATTTTGCAGCATGTCCCAGGAAAGTCTGGAACATACCGGACCGATAAAAATCATACAGCAGACGCGGGCGACCGGTACCGGTCTGAAGCGGGCTAAGCAAGTCCAAGTTCTTATTCATAGCTGCTACAGTGCAGCACTCCAGTCGGTTATTCAATCCCTACACGACCTTGGCCAAGTGCCAGGAGGATGAAGAAGGCGCCTTGAGAGACTCCACAGCTAGGGTTGGAGTAGCTAGGGTGGCGGCCATACCCGCCGAGGTGGAAGAGAGTCTGAAGCGGGTGTATTCAAGGTTACGATCTAGGTCAGCTGAGTGTGTGAGGCCAAGTGATGCAAGCACAGAGAGAGAGAGAGAGAGAGAGAGAGAGAGAGAGAGAGAGAGAGAGAGAGAGAGAGAGAGAGAGAGAGAGAGAGAGAGAGAGAGAGAGAGAGAGAGAGAGAGAGAGAGAGAGAGAGAGAGAGAAGCAGTGAGAGAAGAACGTGAGCACAGGAAAGAGAGGAAAATAGAGTCTTACCTTTAGGGAAGGGAGTCGGGTGTTTACCTGTTGGAGAAGATCGGATTTGTGGAGTGGCGTTGCCTGCTGGTTACCTTAACTCTGAATTTGTATAAGATGATAATTCGTTGAAGTTTCTCAAGCCATTCTGATTCGGTGTTTCCATTATCTGGTGTGGTGTGAATCTTCGTGTGAGTGTTCATGCTTGTTCAATGAATTTGCAGTTTTAGAGGACTGTAGTAGCTGTACACTAATTGGGGCGTTCCGGTATTTTCTTGTAATGCTTCAGGCCCTGTCTGCGATCCAAACGAGCCTACCTTCTTCCCCCGAATACAAGGTACTTTCGTTGTAGCTGTATTTGGGGTATCTTTCCGTCTAAATACAGCGATAGTGACCGTACGTTATATTCAGGGGAAGAAGGTATTCCCTTGCAGGGACATTTCTGCAAATCGATGGTCTTGGGCCCAGGCCCAAGCAATATGACTGCTGGGCCTGTTCTTTATTCTGGTCCGGTGTCTGCTAGGGATCCTAAGTTCCGGTTCTGTTGTAGTCCAGCAGGCTAGGGTAGCGCGTCTACAAGTAGGCAGGGCCCGATGGACTTCGTTTTTTTTTTTTTTTTTCTTTCCCTGCTTTAACTGTTTTTTTTTTTGTAACCACTAGTACCTTCGCCACGTGTGAAAATAGCAGGCCTCGGGTGGGCCTCCGACCTTTTCGGAGGCCAAAACGAAACGACGGCCGCCGATCAGATTTATCAATGGCAGCCGACGTCGGCCCCGGCCTCCGAATTTTTAGGAGTTTCGGAAAACTGCCACTTTTCCCTATTTTCCCAACACTGGTGGTGGTACTACCGTCTTCACCCGAAAATAACGTCCGGGCGTTATATTCAATTTCGCTAAAAGATCGATTTCAAATAGAACGCCCATTCGAATATAACGCCCGGAGTTGTATTCGAATAGAACACCCAGGCATTATATTTGAATGCTCCATGGGCAGAGTGCCTTGTAGAGGTAGTAAACATGGGTTTGAAAGGGCGGGGAGGGGGGTATATATGGGTTTTAAAGGGGGTTGGAACAGGTTTTGACTTCCAAGGGGCATATTTCGGTTTGGTTTTTGTTTTTATTTTTTAATTCCGAGTTTATAAGGAATTCTGTAGTGACTGTCAGCCAAAAGATGGTCGCATTGCAATTCTGGGCAACATATTTGTTTTACAAAATTTTTTGATTTTATTTTTTTTTCCGAATTTTGGGCCCCCACCAAAGTTGCCACCCATTTACTGAATATAACGCCCGGGCGTTATAACGCCCGGCGGGCGTTATATTCGTATACAACGCCCGGGCGTTATTTTCGGGTGAAGATGGTAGTGGTTTAACACAACTAGTGGCCTATCAAGGGGGGGACTGCTACAGGCCATCCCACCCCCCAAACCAGAGCCTCCCCTGGGGTGCTTCTGCTGGCCGGGAAGAAGGATCCCAGGGGTGGTGGGGCGTGGGGGCGAAGAGCCTAGCAGTCTCGCTGGCCGCTTGTCTCCTCCTCTTGGCCCAGACTTCTCGAGAAAAACCAAAAAGACTTGTTCCTAACACCGGTCTCCGACTATAGCCGTGCTCCCTCTTTAAAGTTCTATCCTCCCAACCAGTTCCACCTACTACCATCCCTCGTCCCTTACCCGCCATGCATGCTACCATCCTCTCAAACAGTGTCCTAGCTCTATTTTCAAGTTGCCCCAGCTTTTCCTTATTTCCACAACTTTTCCGAAGTTTTACCCCCTTTTTCAGTGAAACTCACCTCCCTGTCTCCCAACCCCTATTCCCTGCACTACCTTTTTTTTTTTTTTTTTTTAAGGACAGAGCTCCAATAAATTTGTGGGGAACAGCACGTCCTGGGAACCGGGCCCAGTGTACATTACGAAACTATAGTATTATTATACAGAAAATTTAGGGTGCAGGGGCCATGGCTCGGCTTCGGCTGAGAAACAGAACATAGACACAAATTGAGTACCCTTGAGAAACTGGAATTGTCCTAGATTCAACAAAACCCGAACCGGACTAGCTAATAACTCAGTCGTAAAACCTGTCTCCGCCCTCCTGCCTCATTTCCCAAGCCTCTGGGACCGGGCCTCTCCCCCAACTGCTGGGTTACAGAGCAGCGCGACCCGCCTCCGCATACCCGGCGATCGTCTTGGCTCCAAAATATCCGTGAGCCTTCCAGGCTCTTCCAGCAAAGTGGTCGAAGCAGGGAGCATCACACGTTTGTGCCTGCGTGGTTGGGCATGCCTAACCAATTTGGTCCCAGGCCACGGTCTGAATCGGGCCTGGGCGCAGACACTTTGGCCGAGACTGAAACTAGAAACTCGGTCTCACGTGGGGAGGGAATGGCAAGCGCCCACCTCTTTCCATATAGGAAAGGGCAGGGTGCAGGGCTGGTATTCGGGCACTTGCACTTGCGGGCGGCAGCACTGCTGGAGCATAGACTCACGGGCTGCTTGCTCCGCTAGCGCAAGGTGCGGGCGAGCGCGGGCGTCGAGAGGATACAGGGTGCTACTGAGGGCAGCGCCATAGCCCAGCCTTCATAGGAGGGTTTTCCCAAACACGAAGACCACCACCACCTGCTGACTGTGTCCAAACCCCAGCCTGCCTATGAAGGCTGGGCTATGGCGCTGCCCTTAACAGCGCCCTGTATCCTCTCGTGAGAGCTACAGGCATCTTCATCCTAACCCATAACTGCTGACATGCAGACCTGAACGCCAATCTTCAGCATATATTGGTGGTCGTCTGGCCTTGCAAAACACATCTTGTGACTTCTGCGAAGCATTGTGGGCCAGGTCGCTCTTGGGCAACTACCCCCTTCGTGCATTTTTTTCCCACCACTGAGTGGGATTTGCAGAAGGCAGGGGGAAGGCCAGTTTCCACACCCCGCCTTAAAAAGCCCTATTTTCATGATTCGCCATTTCGAAATTTTTAGGAGAAGGGCCTGCGGAATTCGAAATTCGGCAGCCCTTACCCCAAAAAAGATTTTGGGCACGCCGAGCGGCCGGTTTCCAGACTCGCACGGCGAGTTGAACATTTTTGCCGAGTCGGGGGCCCTAAGAAATCATGAAACCCCCTAGGCTACCAGCCAGGCCGGCCGGGTCACCTTATTTGACCGGGCAATCTGGCCGTGCAAGGGCCAAAGAAGGTCCCAGCAAGAAAAAAAAAGAAAAAAAAGAAAAAAAACTCAAAGCAATCTGAAAAAAAAAACCCTATGTTAAACTGAACAACTTTTGCCTCAGGGTCCAATCGAAATTCCTTATGCAAGGAAAATGAGCGATAGCGAACTTCAGAAACCAAGCAGCATCATAGTATCATACACATGAGACCAGATAGTCGTGACCTCGAACCAAAAGAAGAATTGCAACACGAGTCCCACCAAATAAGAGCACAGCAAAAGCTCATAAGTGACAATGTTCGAATAGTCTCATCATCATCAACAAACAACCAATGTCGACATCCTATCTCGCCTATCTACAATGCCACTGGTGAGGTCAACAGCTCCCCAAAGTACGAGCAGATCTCGGCCAATGCCGTTCGCCTCAAGCACCAGGTATGTCTCTCGTATCACTCACAACCTCGTTCCCCCACTCACAGATGCCACGTGCACCCAAGGACCACCATGCGCCCCATCCAGCTATGCAGCACAGCTAGGCTACGGCTGCCTGCCTCTCCCTGCTTGCCCGTAGGTGCATGAGCCTGGCCAGCGTTTAGCGCAGCAGCGCTTGCGCAGCATGCAGCCAGTGCCTGAATGAGGAATGCGGGGACAGGACCTTTCCTATATGGAAGTGCCCTGCCAGCTGCGTGTGGCCAGGCTGCGCTGGGCCTCAGCCCAGAAGCTTCCGGTAGGCCCCAAGAGGCTGAGCCTCAGACCAAACGAATCACGCCCAGGGCCTGTGGTGGTTACCCGTGCCCAACTGCCTGCAGCCTGTGTTCGGTCCATGTTGCGTATCTGGCCCAGGGCCTGCCTCAGTTTCATGCGATAGAGGAAGCCTGGGCCTGGGCGCTTTCAACCAACTGGCGCTGCGCAACTGCCTGAATTTTCCCCCAGTTGCGTGGTAGTCCATAATAGGCCTAGGTCGGGCCTGCCTTCACTTAGGGCGGCCGCCCTTGCTGATAACAGGGCCCAGTAGGGCTCACCGAGGCCTTGTGCCTCGCATTCCCTCCTCCATACTTCGCTAATC